AGCTATCGATGATTTTCCAATTTTAATGGCATCATGCCGAGTTTTTTGCTGCGCACTAGACTTGAAAATTGCACTATATACTCTGGTTGACAGCGTTTGGSCTGTGAATGASTCTTCTGSAATCGGTATCGCCCGACTGCAACGTTCTTACTTGTTTCCCATTGAAAATGGGTTCAGGGTATAAAAATAGAAATCGCGTTGAGAAATGTTACTGTTTCAGTTTTTCCAAATTAAATTAAGCAAAATATTATTTAACATTTTAGTGCACTGTTTGGCCACAGGAACTCTATAAAGCTACGTGCCAAGGCTTTTGGAGCCCTGCTTACCTGTGCTTATGCCTTATTTCATTGCTTTCACATAAGCTTGGACTCAGACGCATATGGCGATAAGATTACTGACCCTGCCAGGCAGCTAAGCATTTGAAAATTGAATAGCTGACCACTAAGGTCAGGGGTAGAGCTGTGCTTGACTTACCAGACTTTTCATGGGATCTGTATTCACTTGACACATGTAGCTGCCAGAATCATTTAGTTGCACGTGGGATATGTGAAGTTTCCAGGTGTTGTGCCCATTGTGTGTCACTGATAATCTTGGATTTAGAGATACCATATGTGTATGTATACCAAGTATTGCCTTTGAATCTGATTTAATCCAAGCCACCTGAAATAGTGAGAGCAGACCCAGGCAGCATTAAGGTAAGTAGTGTAACTTTGCTTTTGCCAACTTCACCCTCGCACACTGCTATGCTCTCCTCATAAACTTACTTACATTCAGCTGCAACTATGTATAAGAGAACATTTTCTACCCTTGTAGGCCTTAACATAAACTTATACTTAGGCATTCTTAAGATTTTGTGTAAGCGTATGTATGTGTAATGCACAATATTGTATAGCTTACATTACATTATATTTGTATACATACATACATACATAAATACAAAAGGCAATGCAGTCTGCTTAAAATTGACTTATTAAATTAGTGATGGTCCATCTACTACAAAATATATAATATGTACAATATAAAATATATATAGTATTCAATGCTGAAGTAGAATTTGTCAGCATAAATAGAATTTGTTATGTAATTTTGTAAGACTTTTCGCTATCGTATGTATAAACTTCAGTGTTGAAATATTCGCACAATTTGCAGTTTATAGATACATATGTATTTCACACTTCACATTTGTTCTGCCATCATTTCTTTGATGTTTTTTTATTTATATATATAGGAATTAATATGATTTATGTTTGTATACATACATATATTTATGGTTATCTACACACCCGATATTGTCCCAAGTTGTCTACAACACAGGTGAAAGATACGTCACGACCTTGTGGTACAGTAATATTTGTAAGTTGTGCCAAAAAAAGCGGTCCCACTTCATCAGGCTCGTTATGACCTTTGAATTCACAGAAAATATAAAAGATAATAAAAGAAAATGGTCCTGAATTGTTTGTTATAAATATGTATATACATATGTGTATATGCAAAATATGAATAAAAAATATCAAAACGCAAGAGATTAATTAAGCAAATGTACAAAGCATCATGTGGTTTCACTAACGAACCCATAACATTAATAAATTCTTACGAAGTCATAAAGTCCGTTTTCCTTGATGATTATAAATATTTATAAGTAAACGAATAATAATTTGTAACAAGTAAGAGAACTCTAGTCTGGGTTGCCGCCTGATTTAATTTTCAAATTCGGCTATATTTTGGGCACTATTGATGCTAGAGGCCTAAAATTTTGATATATGTTCTCGGGCTGAGCACCTAAGACCAAAGAGCTATGGTGGATATGTCTACGCCCACAGGGGTATAGCAAACCACAAAACTTCATATCTCCAACAGTTTATAGCTTAATAGTTAAGTTACTGATAATCTCCTCTTTCGATGACCCAACAATAAGAGCTACACTTCTTTACAATAAAATGCCCTGTAATTTTTAGTTTCTTTGAATGTGAGCGTCCCAAATTTACAGTTACGCTACTAAACCTAAAGGAATATATACATATTGAGGGTTTGGCAAATTAAAAATGGGATGTGAATGAGTTTTCTGCAGCTAGTAACGTTCATTTGCAACGTTCTTACTTGTTGATCTTTCGTGGTCATCGCGAATCTATATTCAAAATTTCTAGCTTTCTAGCTCTTCAACTAATATGATTTCTGGCATATCGGAAAATGCATTTTGTATGTTTTCTAATTTTCTAGCTTCAATAGCGCCGGCATTCGTTCGTTCATTCGGACAGACGGACAGCAAGACGGACATTGCACAAACTCAATATACTCATTTTACTTTCGTGAATATAAATCTATTTTTTCTCAAAAATAATTTATTTCACGTTCACGTGTGTTATATTAAATCCTACCTTGTATATTTGCTATTGAATGACTTCCTTTTGTGCGCAATGTTCCGATGAGTAACAAAAGTATTACAGAGGCTAAAGTCCTCACGCAGAATATAGTCTGAGTCATTGGGGCAGTCTTCATTTAAATATCAGGCTTCTGATCGTCAAAGGATCTTCAGGTACTTCCAAAACTTACTAAGTTATAAAATATTAAAAATAATCTCGCTATTCGAGCTGATCCCTAGCTGTTGATATTCGCCTAATTATTCCATAATATAATTATTATATTATTGTGTTTTATTGTCCCTGTTAACTTATGGTGCACTCGAAATCATTTCTGAAAAGAGAAAGAACCTTTTATTTAATTCTGTGAAAAAAATTGTTGTATTAAGACAGTTTAAGTTATTATTATTTAAATAAATAAAATAACAAGCAAACAAATCAATGATTAATAATAAAAAATTAAGTAGAATTCCTAACTTTTAAATGATCAACAATAATAACAACAGCGAACGAGTTAGAAAACCTATGTAGTCGCTATTTGAATTCAGCTTGGCATTTTCTTCAAGGATATGCATATATATACATAAAGAGATAGGCTGATGTCAGAGTGGCCACGATAAGCGAGGCAATAATATGGAGTGACAATGCGCGAGAAAGCGAGAAGAGAGCCAAAGTGAGAAGTAAAGCGAGTTGCGAGAAAGCATTCCTGAAGCGTTTTCTCGCTTTATCGCACGATAAAGCTGTTCTGATAAGTGTATTTACGTTGCGTGCTGAATAACCGTTGGTTAGTAGGTGAAATATATTCTTTTTGTCAATTCAAGCAATATATCTCTCTTTAACTCTGACATGCCATCGCTTTGCAGATCGCTACAATAAGTATCGCTTATAGAATCGCATCGCTTATCGCGGCCACTCTGACATCAGGCTTAGACGGGAATCCTTCTGTCTGTTACATTTGTATATTTTCACCCAGATTTTCAATAAATTCAAAGGTCAACAGTGTTGGCTATCGTAATTCGAGAAAATTCTGATGAATATTAATTCAAAAATTTTAGATCGATGGGAACATTATATATTTTAAAATATCAAACTAATTTAAAAAAAAAAATTTTTTTTTTATTTTATAAGTACAGTTTATTAGATTAACATTAAATATATTATGTCCTTTTGATATACATTTCCATTCATCTCTTAGCATTCCAGCAAAATAAACATTTATTCAAGAGCTTCGCCTAGTATCCCTCGTATATTTACAAGTTTTGCACTGTTAATGCAATAATTATCTCTATTTGTAAAGATATTTCCTCAACCGAAAGGCATAAAATGAAAGGGCGAATAGCAACCAAAGTTAAAACCAAATTCCTGTTGTGGAATGCGTCGCGCAATTCACTTTGCCAAGAGGAATTTCTTTACCAAAATTTTAAGTTGTGTACAAAAATGTGTAAAGTGGTGTAATATATCTAATTCAAGAAGGGTGAGTTCTGCTCATAAGTGAACAATACAATTAAAGAATGTACCATTTAAATAGACTAGATTATAAATATTTGACTTTTGTTTCTGCAGATATTTGCACTCATGTGTATATTTTATCTTTTGCTTTACTATGCGTAAAATAATGTTACCAAAATTTTCAAATATATATTGTAAGAAGTAAGGCCAAACAACTTTTATTCATTAACTTTTTAATTTTTATGAGCTGTGTCATTAATTAATTGACTAACAACTGAAGAAAGAGAATTTTTTAAATATATCGAATGGAATAAGACCGTCATTATGTTTTTAATATAGAAGCTATTTTTGCTAATTAGCACACGCACGGAAAAGCAGCGCTGAGAAACGCAAAGAATTTGAGTGAGCTTGGTACATTCCAAATTCAAATCCATGATCTAGTTCTGCAGCTAATATGATTTCTGACATATCGGAAATTGCATTTTTCATTTTGTCACCCCCCTAGAGGCAGAATCAAGAAAGTTTTTATACCTTTTATTTCGAGGGTATACACATGTATATTTTCCAAAGTTAAAATCTCTAGCTCATTAGTTGCGCTTAACGAAAATGGCGTATATATAACGTGTCATTTTGAAATTTCGGATCTGAGCCCGCTTGTTTCATCGTAATAGTCATGCATCAACAATTAATCGTTGAGTTGGTGGATGCCTTCAAGTAAGGAAAAATATTCAGTCGGCATTTTTAATTCGCAACGATTTCAATCAAAGGATTTTACAAATGACCAACCCTTCTGCTTGTCGGCTGCTTTTTGGCTTGAGCGAAGCAATGCGATTGCATAAAATGCTTTAACCACATTTTATGTTTGCTTTTGCACACTTGGACCGAACATCAGCCGTCGACCACAGGAAAACCCAACTCTGTTACTTTAGTGACATCATGGCCATCACCATAAAGCGCCTGCTGATCCATTTATTCATATTCAGCTACAGCTGAAATCACATGCAGCTCTACTGTGCCTTGTTAAATTTAAACGGAATGCCCAAAAAATTGTCTCTCTGTCCGTAGCAATGGGTCGGCTTCGAATGCCCAACGATGAGTCAATGCTTACACTTATGTATGCATTTACATACTTACATACTAGTTATACATAGTGCAATCGGATGAGCATTATGCATGTGGATTTGCATGACCGGATTGCGGGCTCGGCCACTAAGAGATACGTATACGTTGCGCCGGATACGGATGCGGAATTTCGAAATTGTGTACTGTTGGGAAATTCGAAATTCCATTCGCCACAATTTTTAATCAGAAGTAACTGGTGTGGTCGAAAATTTCCGACGGCCTAAAATAAAAATTCAAATAAAAAGATTTTCGTCTGAAATCTCATTAAAAACATTTCCGTTTGTGAAAACAAACAAATAAAAACAAGCAGACGAGCAAATAAACGCACAGAGACATGGACATATCCATCCACACGCATGGACAACGCAACGAGCTTGCGTCCAGGCGTAATCCCTACAGTTGTAGCGACGGCACTACCAATCGCCGCAGATGCTCTGCGCCTTCTTCTCTCTGTCCCTATCTGTCTGTCCGTTGCTCCTTTTGCTCGCAGTGCACTCACTGCCTTGAACTTGTCAGCTCGTTCGTCCAACTGATGCCTTGGTGGGCTGGCCAGTAGACCAGCTTGCGTAGTGTTCCTGTTTGTCCATTTGATGACGAAGAGCTACCATCAATTTGCAACACTCCCATTGCCGCTGCCACCGCTTAACTCCCACACAGCAGCAGCAAACCGGCAGTCGGGGTCCGTTGCCCACTCCTCAGCTTGAGTGTAAACACATAATCCATTTAAATTGTTTGTGGTTTTTCTTATTGTTTGTTTCCCTTCTTGTTTCCATTGTAGCTGCCGTTTTCGCTGCTGTCGTTGTCATTGCTGCCCAAGCTATGCGAAGGCAAATCAGGTTCATGTTTGAGGCCTACATATTCCACTGCTTTGCCTCCAGATATAGAGAAAAACATTACCCTCCATCCATTTTGTTAATTTTTGCAGATTCTTCAGTACTTTCAGTATTCTCGAAAACAGCAAAAGCAGTACTAAATCGGACATAACTAAATATATTTCACAATTTTATCATTAGATAAAAAAAAATTAATATGCGGGACTATTTTAAAGATAGATACGGAGACATACAAAAATAAAAAAAAATGGGATAAAGTTAGAAAGTTTAATTTTTCAATATGTACAGGTAGAAGGATGTACGAAGCTATAATAGCTACAGATTTAGTTTTCAATTTTTGGTTTCACAGAAATGATAAATATTGCTTCAACATTGTCGAAATTAATCATTACATTTTTACTCCTACTTCTTGAGCGCTAGGTCGCCCAATTTGGCATATCGATCTAGTGTATTTTATACAGATTTGATAAAAAAAATATTTTTAATACCATCTTCAAACATTTATTTCAAACTTTTAAAATCACCAAAAAAAATACATAGTACTAATATAGTACAAATATACTCAAAAAGCGCTTTTTCTCTGCATATTCGAGACTATTCTACAAATGAAATTGCGATTGTATTTAAACTTTCAGATTAATATGAGTTTAGATTACATGTGATAAATGTAGGAAGTAGTTCTAAGTTGCAAACCTGAACCCTGAACCCTCATTCTGCACTTCTTTTATGCACACATGCATACACA